GGTCTACCTAGGATCAAAACATTAGTTTTGGAAAATGGCAAGAACAATCAGCAGCTTGCCCATAACCTCGGCTTAGTCGAGGAATAAAAAGAAATTGCCACACTACGACTTGCGAACTACCAGAACCAAGTTGCCACTTACTTCAATAAATGGGTCAAGTCGAAAAGGTTCAAGGTAGGTGAAAGGTCATGGAAAACACAAAAGACTTGAATGCAGGAAAGCTTGGACGCATATGGGAAGAACCATATGAGGTGACCGAAGCCTTCAGAAATTGAGCTTATAAACTTAGGCACGTTGAAACAGGTCAGTATATGTCGTGCCCTTGGAACACAATTCATTTCTAGCAATGTTGAAGGGTAAATCCCTTCTTGTATTCCTTGCATGTCAAATGGTGTATCCTTAAATGCCTGTTGACATCTCCTTATTGTATGATAAATAAAGTTGCACTTCATTTAAATCTTCGACTAAAGTCTAAGGCTGAAGAGCATAAACCATGGATTATGGATCAAATCAAGATTGACAACGTCAGATTGAGTGGGAAGAGAAAACCTAAGATCAGATGGGTAAAGACTCAATCAAGATCGAGAAACTAAGATTGAGTGGGAAAAGAAAGCCCAAGATTGAATGGGCAAAGGCCTAATCAAGATCAAATCTAAGATTGAGTGGGAAAAGAAAGCCCAAGATAGAATAGGCAAAAGCCTAATCAAGATCGAAAATCTAAGATCCAGTGGGAAAAGAAAGTCTAAGATCGAATGCGCAAAGACCCATTCAAGATCGAAAATATAAGATCGAGTGGGAAAAGAAAACCAAGATCGAATGAGTAAAGACCGACCAAGATCGAAAATCCAAGATCGAATAGGTAAAGACCTAATTATGAGTAGAATTCAAGGTTGAACGGTTTTAAGATTGATAATGAAAGGGAAAATTTAATAAATCTGATTTCCCCCCAAACACGTCATGTGTTTGCAGAGGAAAATGAAGTATTACGTGTGCAAAAGTAAAAGCTCAAGTAGTGGGACATTGTTTTTCCTGCCTATAAAAGGGAATATCTTTTATTTAAAAAAGGAAAACCTCTTGGACGTTGGATATATAGTGTGATAAAAGATAAGAATGAAAGAAGAAATAAACCTACTAGTAGAAAGTGAAAACAAGGACAACATCACTACTAGATATCCTAATAGTGGTTGTACCTAAGGGCCCAACTTATTACAAGCGAGATGACATCTAGTCTAATAGGATGGGAGACCATCCCAGTTTATGGAAGGAAATGTTGCCTTAGCCTTGGAGCTGAAATAATGAATGCCTTGTTTAAAACCATCTTGTATGCCATTTGAATGAGCAGCAGACACAACATGATCAGTAGCCATTAATTCCCCCTTAAGATGATCCACCTGGTGTTCACCGCTTTGCAAGTATCCTTTCAGAATTTCACGCTCGTCCAATAGCAAGGAATAGTCAAAGCACTGGGGGCAACGTTGGTGGTAAAGGGAAGATGGGCGAGAAGCACCCGCTTTATCTTTGGCATAAGGGTCGGGAAAATAAGCGATAAAGTTAGGAGCCCAAGTTGCATAATTCATCCTCGAAGAGATCCTTCCACCGACAAATGAATCGAGAGCCTGTTTTCCACCCGACCTTGTTCGAGACCAGTATGTGGATCTATGAAAAATGTTAGGAACTTTAGAAAAGTGAGAAACCCTCGACGAACGAGAAGAGGAACTAAAACAAGCTCGATAACATTCCTAAAGCCCCTGGAACCCCTCCAAAAGCTTCCCTTTTTAGGGACATCAGCACAGAGCTGGAAGTTGAGTTTCACTCTCCGGTTGTTAGCCATAAGACCTAGGTACTGCCTACTTGCTCTTAAACATCTCTTTACATAGAGACATTTCGAGGTTGCTAGAAACAAAAATTCAAAATCTAAGATGATCATATCTTATTGGGATAAGTTAATCTCTTGTTTGAAAACTCAAATTTAAGGATAAATGATATTGCTCTCATTTAATTAAAACTAAAAATCGAAAAGAACGTCTAGAAAGGGCAATGGAGGGGTAAAGGCCCAACTTGCGAATGAAAATTACGCTAAGATACAAGCAGATAAAATAAGTAAAAGTGCGATGGTGAGAATACAAACAAAAATGGGGTTTTAGCCCATGAGAACAGATGCGATTACATGAGCTACTAAGCACCAAAATGAGGGCCGGACTAAAAGCTTCCAAAGCCTAAACCTGAAATAGGTCCGAAATTAGTAACAAACTTGCTGCCTGGGATAGAATCAGAAGAAGTAGGTTCATCTGAGGGTCTCTAATCCTTAGGATCCATCCCCTCGTATCGCTCATATCAACCAAGCTCAATCCTCATATGATGATCATACGTGTTAAGATCAGCTACAAATCGATGTTTCGGACATTGCTGGCTTTGCACCCAACCAAATCTGAAGCAGGGGGCCATCTTCTTGTGTATCTATTGCATGTTAATCTTGCGCTCAGTGGTTCTCTCTTGCTTGACCTCAGCCAACTCTTCATTTGTACAGCGTACTTCAGACATCGTAACATCACGAGCTCACTTCAAATCTGTGATCTCTTCCTCATATCCGTGAAGTCTAGCTTGGTACTCTCTGACCTACTGCTGATTAAGGCTGAGGGATTCCAACCTGACAGCTAGTCTATCTGATTTTCCTTTTAGAGTAAAGCCATCTAAAAACAATGGTAGGGTTAAAGTTTACAAAAATGATGAGATATGCAGAGAATGAGATAATACATTCAGAAGACAATAAGACTCATAGGAGTCGAGATCATCAGCGAGCGTTGCCTCAAAGCGACTAGTGTCATTGGGATGAGTCAAGTCTCTCACCACAACAATAGCAGTGCTTGCATTGCCCCAAGGATTATCGCCAAGGGTGACGAAACTCCTATCTTTTTTTGTGAATTCAGGTCTCTATGCTTGAGATGAATTATTAGAACTATCACCACTAACCGAGTCGAAGGTGGGAGGAGCCGATTGCCATTGCATGGGTCTAGGTGTTATGTCGAAAATAGTTAGTGACCATGCCTAGACTTTTTGGGCCTATCCGCGAAAGGACGTTTATCTGATCTGCCTATAATTCTGGGCACTGGAAGATCACAAGGAGGTGATGCAATGCAGCGGGGTGGGGGAAGGTCAAGAGGTAGTGATGCCATAGCGAGAATAATTCGAGTCGAAGTTCGTGTCCATTTTCCCTGTCTCCTCGTCTTCTTCTTTTTCATCTCCCTCTTCTAAGCCTCCATTCATGAGTCAGTCACAAGTACAGGAGAATCTATGCTAAACTGAAGCTCAATATTAAGAGCAAAGATAGATTTAAGCAGAGGGTTTGGGGGCAACGAAGCAGAGGGTTTGGGGGCAACGACCGGTCGACCAAACAATACGGGAAGTAAATGATAAAGTTTCGGAGATAGGTGATTTTAGTAGAAGTGTTAGCAACTTCTCTAGAGCTTCATGTCTTCCTCATCACAAACCTCTTTAGCCAACACTGTCAGTCTTTGGAATTATCTGTTTGGGACCATCTGATAAAGTTGCGAAAGAATCTCATGGTAAATTATGTTTGAATATTTATGGAAAAACTGATAGCAAAGGTAAATTCATAAACCAGGTTTAGGACTAAAACTAGATTGGATAGATAGTTGAGACATCTCAGGAGCCTTCCAATTCCTCGAAATCAGAAGAAGGCGGTTTTTCCAATCTCTGGCTCTCAAGGGATCCAATGACAAGAATTTCTTGCGATATCTAGGTTTAAAATTAAAGAAACTAGTTTCACCCTTAATAGTAGTCAAGTCGAATAGATAGAGGAAATCTCTAAAACTTAAGGATACGCCTAGCTTCAGACCCAATGCCAAGATGATCAACATAACCAAGTAAGAGTTCGGGTTCAGTTGCATAGGGTAAGTATTCGTGAAGAATAAGATGAGATGAATCATGGCGTGGAGCGGGAAACTAATTGTCCCTAAGTGGTCCACAAACAAAACAGTAGACCCGGCTGGGATACCGAAGCTCGAATTCATGTCAGCTCTAGTAGGAAGTGGGCTGAGGTACACGTCATCTGGAACGTGACATTGGTCATGAGCCTTGACGATTTCAAAGTGCGGTGGAGTACCACCATATTTAGACCAATGTGTATGTCTCGACATGAGAAATGGGGTGGGAGACTTGCCGGCCAAAATTGATTCAAGAAGATAAGAAGAGGAATTTTTACCCATAAACGTAAGTGGAATGTTTGAAATATTCCCACAGGAGGAGTTTGAAATGAAAAAATTACCTATAAGCCAAGAGGCCACTCTAAAATGAGAAATTACAGGCTTGGTGGAGAAATAAGCAGAGGAAGTGAAGAAAAGGGGAAAGGAGAAACTCAATTTATAAAAAAAAAAAAAAAAGAAACAAGTGCATATGAAGTTTGGACGTAAAATTTCAACCTTACAGAGGACATATGAAACTCCAATTGAAAGGACAAACACTATAGACAACCCGATGGATAGGACAATTATTCTTTTCTCATGTGTATTTCAATGTGTAGTCACAATCTAGGTGACGAGAGACAACGATTTGACAAGAAGAGCGAAAGAAGAGAGCTTGTTCCGAAGCACATTTTCAAAGGTGGAAAAGCGTACGTGACGACAGAATTTAATTGGGCATGAAATTATTAAACATGTTGAACCCAAGGTAATGACATGTAAATATGTATACATGTGTGCATAGAGATATATATAAATATATGAAAAGTGGGTGCAGAGATTCGCATGTCGGTACGCATAGATATGTACTTATATGTTGCCTGTAAGCATGTCAGTATGCCTATATATACCTATATATCCAGACATGTATATATATATATAGATAGCCCGGTGTGCTAGTGTGGTAAGAACAGTTCTACCGTTGCAAAGGCATCCTAGGGCAAGTCACTATTGAATAGCCTCCAATGAACAGTAACTGACTTTTGCATCTCTACCCTTACATTGAATAGCCTTGACAATATATAATAAAATATTAGTATTTTTTATTTTACAAAATAATTTCTTTAGAAAATCGCTTCAACATAGATCACTGAAAGGATATCGACTTTATTCCATAAAACTGAAAGTACTGATGTAAATCTGCACAAAACTGAACCTCAAAGCACAAGGCTTTGTCTGTTGAAACGACGCCGCCTTGTGGCCGAGGGAACAATTGGTTCCGATGGAGCTGCTGATGTTGCTGCCATCTCTCATGCTCTGTGGCACACAAATTCAACCGAACTCAAAAACTCGAATTCATAAACACAAAAAAGCAAACATTTTTCCACGACTAAATATCAATTGAACTGCAACCCAATTCACCAAATGAAAACATAAATTCTGGGTTATGTCTACAACAATAAAATAAAAAATAAAAATAAAAAAGATTTCCATTTCAGAAGCAAAAAAAAAAAAACATGAAGAACAACACAGATGGGAAAATTGAAAAAAAAAACCCATGAGATCTGAAACTATTGCTCATAGATCCGTGACTGTACGAACTAAAACAATGAAACCCAAATTAATTCTTTAGAAATTGATTGAAAAGTCCTAACCTTGAGGAGGAAGATGAACGCCAACAACCAGAGATCCATAGAGACGTCACCTGACCATTGGGCTCTTGGGCTAGCTACTCGTGCCGAGCCTCTCCCTCGGGCCCTTCGGGCTCAATCGCCAACATCCGTTGGACTTGCTTGCTGGGACGATTTGGCCCTATTTAATTGCCGGTCCATCGGGCTCTAGCATACGCTAGAGCTGCTCTAAAGATGTGATGTCTACAATATATATATATATATAAGAGAAAGAGAGAGAGAGAGAGAAGCAAGTGTCAGTATCGGTGTGTGTGTGTAGAGTAAAGCAAGTATCAGTGCCAGTGTATATATGTATGTGTGTGTGTATATAAACATATATATATATATGTGTGTGTGTGTGTGTGTATGTGTGTGAGTGTGTGTGTGTGTGCGTGCGCGTGTATAAAAGCATATGGGTGTGCAGATTAAGCGTTCGGTCTAGACGTGAAGATTAGGTGTGTAGATTAGGTGTTCGGTCTAGACAAGCTAGGTGTGCAGACAAGATGGGATAGAGGTATATATAATAAATATATGTAAGTGTAAATCATACGAAGGTGTCAGTCCACTTTCGTAAACCACGGTAAGGTGTCAGCCCTCGTTCGTAAACCATGCGAAGGTGTCACAGGAAGTTGTTAGCCCTCGTTCGTAAACCATACGAAGATGTCAATCCACTTTCGTAAACCACATGAAGGTGTCAGCCCTCATTCGTGAACTATGCAAAGATGTCGTCACGCACGTAAATTATGTTGTCAGTCCACGTTCGTAAATTATGCGAGGATGTCAGTTGACATTCGTAAAGTATGTGAAAGAGTTTGTTGTTTTTCTCAAGTTATGCAATAGTCGACTTTCGTAAATTATGGTTTATGTGTCAGTAAGTTATGCGAAGATGTCAGTCCACGTTCATAAATTTTGCGATGTCAGTTGACGCTTGTAAATTATGAGAGGATACGACAGTGCAAAGAAAGCGAGTAGACCATTCATAAGTTAGGCGAACGAAACGAAGGCTTTGGTAAATTTACCTTAAGTAAATTTGGCCTTAGAAAAAGTAACTTCCACAAATTTGGCCCTAACAAGAAGTGCTCAAAGTTTTAACCTGGCTTAAAGAATATAGTTTCAAGGCCTCATGATTGAACAACTCAATTTTCCCCTATTGTGCAAGATAAATTGTGAGAAACGTCCACAAGAAGTATACAGACAAAAGGGAAACGTGTCTAGATAACTACCTCCACTACCTCCACTAAGGAGGACCACTAAGGAAGAGGGAGAGGAAGACAGGTCGTGGTACTTGTTTCCCAAGCATGTAGTCCTATAAATATGGAGAGAAGCCAAAGAGCAAGGTATGTAATTAGAACCCTAGAGAAACTAGAGAATAGAAAATCAATCGACTGACTTGAGCGTCAGAGTATCTCTTGTAGGTACCCTGCCCAGGCAAGCTACAGAGAAAAACTGTTCAGGAACACCGCTAATGAAGGATTCGGCGAACGTGAGGATTGCGATCAACAAATATATGGATGTATTTCTTCCATTAGGAAATTTCGCTCCAACAATTCTCACAATTAAGTTTCCTGTCAATTAAGATACATTGTTAGCCCGCTCTTTTTTCTTCTTCGTACACCGTGTAGCAGCCTTTCACCCCTACCCCTACTGGTTTTCTGGTTTTTCTTAAAAAAAAAAAAAAAAAAAAAAAAAAAAAAAAAGACATTCAAGCATCAGAAAAAGAACCCGAATATTCTCCATCTTCCAAACTCGTCACAAAGAGTTATTTTTTAATACAGTATCTATTAATACCGTATGAAATAATTGATTGGATAAATGTTGATATAACAGATAGAATTTCACACGGTTGGGGACAAGTGAAATTATGGACTGGAATAAGAGAACCTGCAATTGTTAGCGTTCCGTGGTATAAAATGTTGGGGGTTTTTGTTTTTGCACAGTTTTTCGCTTAAAAAAAATAAATAAAATAAATAAAACCAAAGGAAACTGAGGTAAGAAAAAAAAGTGCAATAGAACATCGATAATTTAATATCCGACAAACTAAAAATTTTGACTGAATTTTTTGGCCGCTCCCGACTTAGGATAACATGTTAAATTAATAATTCTCTAATTTATGCGATAATACATTATAAAAATTCATATGGATTATCTTTGTTCAGTCACTTGCAAGCAGTGTTCTGAAAAGTACTCTAGGTGGCTACCTAGGTTCTGAAAAGTACTCTGCATAATCGATAAAACAATTAGGTGGAGCTTAGGCGGATGTTAGGTGGCAATTGGGCGGTCTAGGAGGTTAAGGTAGAGCCTAGCCAACGCACGAGTCAGTAGAAGACCACCATCCACAACAAGGTATTGAGGCAAGTGGACGTTGAGGCCGCATGATCCACTGCCCACCACCCACAACCCATACCCTCACAAACCGTGCCCACACACCTAAGATCAATCGATGACTCGCAACCCACGCTTGCCATAAGATCTGAAATTTTGAAAAAAAAAAAAAAAAAAAAAGGGGAAATGAAGACTCTCACCTACAAATAAATGAGGAAGATGAACAGAGAAGGGAAGAAGACAAACAAAAAAACATTTTTCTATTTAGGATCAAGAATATTTTTGGTCACCACCCTCAAATGAAGGTGATGCTCACCACTCTATTTATCACCGTTAGATATTTAAATTTCGAGATTTGTGTAGTGGGTAGACACAAATATCACAATTTAGACTCATCTAACAGTGGTAATAGGATATGGGGTAAAGGAGACGATAAGGGGATACGGTGGAGAGGCTGCACGTACCGAAAGGACAATTTTTTTTTTTTTTTTTCCTAGGAGTCGTTCCAAAGCTGTGGTAATTACGTCAATACGCTAAGGCAAATGCTGGGCTGGTTTGTGGATTGGGTCCTAACCCGGTTGGCGGACAGCACAAAGCTGGTGGAGATGAAGGCGCGGAGTCATAACTAGATGAAGAAGACGCTTAACTGGTGGGACCTCATCTGGTTCGGACTTGGTGCTGTCATCGGCACTAGAATATTTGTGCTCACCGAACTGGAGGCAAAAAACTACGTGGGCCCTACCGTCGTGCTGCCGTACGTCGTCTTGAGGGAGGTGGGGGTGGGGTGGGGGGGTTACGGGGGAGGTGGAGGTGGGGTGGGGGGACGGGCGGTTTGGGTTGCAGGGAAAGGGAAGGGAGGTGGGTCAGGGGGGGTCTGGGGAGATGGGTTTTCTGGGTTTGTGTTTTGTTTTGGTATTTTTTTTTTTTTTTTCGATAGGGTAAATTATTTAAATTTTTAAAGGCATAAAATTTTTTTTTTTGCCACTTGGCATAATTTTGGCAGCCATGTCAGCACAACGTCATCACTTAATGGTTTACTTAACAGATTTTTTAATAGATGTATGAAATTGAAATAAAATGATAAGTCAATGTATGAAATTGAAATGTTTTAAAAATGTTGTAAGAAATTGAAATCGACCCCAAACCTGAGGGAGTAAAATGTAATTTACCCTAGGATATGTGATCTTTACCACCATTTGAGGGTGCTGAGCAAAAATGCACCATTTAGGATTAGCAATCATATAAAAAGCCAAAAAATGGTTTTTCATTAAAGTGAACAGTACTGCGGGCTTTTCGTTAAAACTCCCTACAAATTAATTATTTTATAAGAATTGTTATTTGCACTCTACAAATCTATTTCGCACTCAAAACTTTCTATAATTAGAAAGAAAAATATATTTATGAAAGAAAAAAAAAGAATTTTCGAAGAGCTAATTAATAACAGTTCCCTATTTATTTTTTTTCCATTTTAGTGGAGGCGCTTTTGAATTTTGGCATAAGTTTGCTTTATTTTTGGATTTTAGGTTTAACAATACAAGAATTAGTAGGTAATTAGAAATTGTTTATATATTATATAATAAATTCAATTAAAAAAAAAAATCTCCTAAGCTCCCTCCTGTACCCTAAGCACTAGGTTCTTCCTTGCAGCCTGACTGATGCCTAGTGACTTTTAGAACATTACTTGCAAGCTAAATTTTTCTATAACAACCATTGTTGCAATTTTCTTAGTGCTACTTGGATTATCTTTGTTGTACTCAAGCAATACTTTACGTATTTCATCGTCATTCTTGATTTTCTTTACACCTTTAAGATGAGAAGTCATTGTTGTATGTATGATGTATTGTAACATCCCACATCGTCCAGCGGAGTGGACCCTATAAGCCTTATATGTATATTCCCATCTCTACCTAGCACGAGGCCTTTTGGGAGCTCACTGGTTTTGGGTTCCATTGAAACTTCGAAGTTAAGCGAGTAGCGAGCGAGAGCACTCCCATGATGGGTGACCTACTGGGAAGTTCTCGTGTGAGTTCCCAGAAACAAAACCGTGAGGGCGTGGTCGGGGCCCAAAGCGGACAATATCATGCTACGGTGGTGAAGCGGGCCCAGGATGTGGTGGACCCTGGGCCGAGATGTGACAATTTGGTATCAAAGCCAATCCTTGGTTGGAAGTGTGCCGACATGGACGTCAGGCCTCTAATGGGGGTGGATTGTAACATCCCACATCGCCCAGGGGAGTGGATCTTGTAAGCCTTATATGTATATTTTCATCTCTACCTAGCACGAGGCTTTTTGGGAGCTCACTGGCTTCGGATTCAATTGGAACTCCGAAGTTAAGTGAGTAGCGCGCGAGAGCACTCCCATGATGAGTGATCCACTGGGAAGTTCTTGTGTGAGTTCCTAAAAACAAAACCGTGAGGGCGTGGTCGGGGCCTAAAGCGGATAATATCATACTACAGTGGTGGAGTGGGCCCGGGATGTGGTGGACCCCGGGCCGGAATGTGACATGTATTGTGTTACTGTGGATTTTGTTTATTTAAATAGAGTTTTTGCTTAGTTAAAAGTTCATAAAGAATAATGTAATACGATGAACAATCTACTCCTAGAAAAATACATAAATTCATAAATTTAAATTACAAAGGAAAGAGCAAAAGTTAAAAAAAAAGAGTGCAAAAATACTCCCCGTCTGAAAAATATATCATCCAATACGCAATGTTATTGACATTTCCAATTTCTCTTGGTCATCCTGCACTAAATAATAAGATACGTGCGTGAATCGGGCAGAGAGGTGCATGCAAGTTCACTGAGAACGGGGTTTGCGTATACTCGCCGCAATTTACTAGTTTGGTACATATTATTAATTTAATAAGTCACAAAGGCGGATCATTAATTAATACATAAACCTAATTGTTATCAACTTTGCTTTATTCTATCAGCAAGAAAAATAACTTCACTTGTATCGGCACATGTGGGCCTGGGAGGACCAAATAATG